ATTTAGGGCTAAACATGTTATTGAGTCTGCGCACAATATTCTATTCCAGTTTTATTCAATGAACATGCCTTATCATCTTCATTATAATAATTTTTTTTTGATATTGGTTAAACTATTGCAACAGACAAAATGAAACATAACTGTGGTTTAATTAAAGATGTAGTTTATTTACTTATTCTACAACAATAAGTATTACAACACTTCTATTTTGTAAAAGTATGTGTAAATTGTGTTTTTTTTTATGTGAAAACAATCAATTATCAGTCTAGCAGCACTGTTCTGTCTGGGTAGCACAGCACGGGCCACAGAATTGATTTTTATAGGGAGGGCAAGAATTAACTGAACTATTAACTGAATTATGGTTTAAACATTTTAGTAAAATGCAAATCTGCACTTTTAATTATGAATCCACAAGCAACATGCACCCTCAGGGATATCATGATAGTGAATGTTGCCCTCTTTATCAGTAGTTCAGCCCTGTGCTAGCAATAAACAAGCATGGCAGTTCATTTCTAGTATTATTAGCTGCTCACCGACTGAATCAGAAATAAAAGTATGCTCCTGCGTACGCAAACAAACAAACAAGCCCCCAAAAGAGGCCATTCCGTTTCAGTTTGATGCTCATAATAAATTCAAAATGACATCTCCAATTTCTCCACATTAAGAGCGGTGCTAAAAAAAGGAAGAGGAATTGTTCTTCATCTAAGTGGAACTGATAGACAACCTCAGGTGTTTGCTTTGGGCCTTTCATTTTTGATGAAGCAGGCAGAGCTAAAAGAGCTTTATACACAATCCACTAGGGAAGGAGGCAGTCTTTTACATACTGTAATAACACAAACATGATCATAATCCTCAGGGATGAATGCCATCAGCACTTGTCACATTGTGACTACAGTAATCGTTATTTTAAAAGGCACCATTGTCTTTAGATTGCCTTTGAAGTGTTAAATTATTACTAGATTGCTTTTAGCTTAGTATTTATAGAAATAAGGAAATATAGGAATATAGTACACAAGATACGATAATATAGGACAAGATGAAAAAATGCACATGATGAAGATAAGTTAATTAAACAAACTGTTGACGAACACATGACAAGAAAAAAAAAGATAAAAAAAAAAAAAAGTAAGATACTGCAATAACCATGTTTCCCAAAAACAAAACAAAAAAATTGCAGAATGAGCATAATTGTTTCAAATGATATGATCATACTCAAAATTATGCCAATACACAAGTGAACTTGAACAAAGATTTGTGTAAAATAGTTAAAATAGTCCATGTGACATCTGTGGTTCAACCTTAATTTTATGAAGCTATGAGAATACCTTTTGTGTGCGACAACAAAAATAATGACTTTATTCAACAATTTCTTCTCTTCCGTATCAGGCTTTGACGTGCATTCACAAGAGTACCACGATGCATATGTGCATTCCTCTGCTTGCAAACAAGGTGCATGCATGCATTGTGGTACTCTCATGAACGCACGTCATTATTTTTGTTTTCTTTGCACGCAAAAAGTTTTCTCGTAGCTTCATAAAATTAAGGTTGAACCACTGTCCAATGTCACATAGACTATTTTAACAATGTCCTTACTACCTTTCTGGGCCTTGAACGTGGTAATTGTGTTGCTGTCTATGGAGAGTTCTCGGATTTCATCAAAAATATCTTAATTTGTGTACCGAAGATGAACGAAGGTCTTACGGGTTTAGAATGACATGAGGGTGAATAATTAATGACAGAATTTTAATTTTGGGGTGAACTAATCCTTTAATATATAAAATGTTTGAATATTTATTTAAATTTCTCACCAATTAAAATTAGGCCTATATATTTGTAAACTAAAATGAATGAATAGGACATGCATTTTTCACTAAAAATAATAGTAAAAGCAAAGCACACAAAAAAAACAACAACCTCAAATTCAAGACAAAAAAAAAAACTTTCCTCCAAAACAAAAACAAATCAGTATCACCCACCATACAAGGGGATTTCATACCTTTGAAATGAAAAGATTTCCTAAAGGTGTTACTTGGTCTTATTAATTTGTGTGGAAATATATTCTGTGGAAGGGACATTTGTAAACAGCCTGCAGATATCATTAGAAGCCCAACAGAACGAGCATTGGTCTGCGCTGTAATTGAAAGATAGTGGCCGCAGCTGCAGTACAGCAATCTCCGTTCAGCACGCAATGATACCGATTCAAATAAAGGGTGGAGATTATTCTAGGTAGACAGAAATGTAATGATTAATTTCCTCTTTGGGTTTCTCACGATCATAATAATGGGTAAGAAAATGTGGCATTGTTGTGCACCAAGTAATAGTGCTCCTGGTGGTACCCACAGTGTGAAGTTTGAAATGATGTGTTCCTGTACCTCAGTTAGCTGCCAGGATACAAATGAGTCACCCAGCATCCCACGCCTGCATGCACATCCACCGTATAATAAAGCCATTTCACCCAGCATGAAATAAAAGACCATTTTCAAGTTCAGTGATTGGGTTCATAAACTCTCTCACTGCCTAAAACACACACACACACACACACACACACACACGGGTGCGCGCAACAGTTCACATATGCACAAGAGCACGGCAGCAAACTTACATACTGTGACACCAAGCTTGGTCAATTTCTGACATAGTGAGTAGCTCAAATCATCAGGCATGCAAAATAAACAAGACTTGCTAAATAAATTAAGCAAACAAAACAGATATAATTGCACATTATATTACAAAATATCACAGGAATAGTTCACCAAAAATGAACATTTGCTGAAAATGAATCCTCAGATCATCCAAGATGTAGATGAGTTTGTTTCTTCATCAGAACAGATTTGGAGAAATTTAGCATCACTTGCTCACCAATGGATCTTCTGTAGTGAATGGGTGCCGTCAGAATGAGAGCTCAAACAGCTGATAAAAACATCACAGTAATCCACAAGTAATCAACACGACTCCAGCCCATCAGTTAACGTCTTGTGAAGCATGCGTGTTTGTAATGAACAAATCCATCAAGATGATTTTAACTTCAAACCATTGCTTTTGGCTAAAATACAAGTCCATAATATTGCTCCATACTATCCATAATATTGTTTTCTCCAGTGAAGCATCTCATCTGAATCAGGAGCAAAATAAGCATAGAGCAAGCAAGTGAAAGCGGTCCAAAACTGTTCTAAACAAATATGTCTGTGGATTTTGATGTGACAGGACAACAGGGGATGGATTTTTCAATGCAGGAAGCAATATTATGGATTATGGATTTTGGCCAGAATCGATGGTTTAAATTTAAAATGCCTTAATGATGGATTTGTTTCTTACAAACATTTAGCTTTTTGCATCACAAGATATTACCTGATGCACTGAAGTTGTGGTGTTTTTATCAGCTGTTTGGACTCTTATTCTGACAGCACCCATTCACTGCAGAGGATACATGAAGAATGCATTCCTATGAAGAAACAAGTTTGCCTCTCAGATGTCCTGAGGTTGAGTAAACTTTAAGCAAATTTTCATTTTTGGGTGAACTATTCCTTCAAAGAAAGACATTAAAAGCACGTGAAGTAGAAGCATGATGCCATTTGATTTTCACAGTATTCAACCTGAAGGAACCCTGCCCGCCCAGCCACTTCAACACACAATAAAGCTGCCAACTTCAACTATTATCCTGATTATAAGCTCATTTTTATTCCATAAAGCATTGAATGCAATGCATGCTTTTCATGCTGTAGTTTAAAGGGGTCATATGATGCGATTTCAAGTTTTCCTTTCTCTTTGGAGTGTTACAAGCTGATTGTGCATAGATAAGATCCCTGAAGTTGCAAAGACTAAAGTCTCAAATCCAAAGAGATATTCTTTATCAAAGTTAAGACTCTGCCACGCCCCCCTAAAACGGCTCGTTCTAACACGCCCCCACATATCTACCTCACTATGTGGAAATATTAGCATAATGCCGCCCAAATGTTCACGCAAAGAAAGAAGGCGTGGTTTCAGTAACCGCAGTTAGTGTTGAAGCAGCCATGTCAGGGAGACGCTGTGTTTCTAGGCGAAAGCAAAAGCACTTTATTTGGCCTTCCGAAATTAGATGCATTTAGGAATCTTTAAGATTACTTACAACAGAACAGCAATGCATTTTATGGACGACCGTTTCGTGAACCTAGGAGAGGAGGTCATTCTGAATCAGCTACTGTTTTGTTATTAGTTTAAGTATTTGCTATTGACTGTTCAAATGCGGAGTTTTGCGCATCGTGTGTGTGTGTGTGCGTGCGTGTGTGTGCGTGCGCGCGCGAGCGAGAGAGAGAGAAAGAGAGAGAGAGCGGTGTGTGTGTGTGTGTGTGGAGAGAGAGAGAGAGTGCGCTTGTCGGAAGGAGGGACTTTGTAGAAAACGAAGCGTTTGAGAGAGGCGGGGCATAGAGGACTTACAATAATGTACAGTATTTGAAAAATAATGTGTTTTTTGAACATTAAAGCATGTCAACATATTCTGTTACACCAAATACACAAAATAATGGTCTTTAAAAAAGCATCATATGACCCCTTTAACACTGCACAAGTAACTGTCCCCCCTCCAACACACATTTTAATCAAAGTTGCGTGCACCTTTAACAAGTGATTCAACGGCCGTTACATCTTAGTTCCAATGTTAATCCCTTGTCATAACCTTTGTGGCAATGCATTAGTCATAAAAAGCATAAACTGTTGCCATAGACACTAATTAGCTTGCCAGGATGTTTTCAACAGGAGCATGAATTAAATTTGCCTAACAATGCATTGCCTAGAGGTTTCTCTCCTCATTTAAATAATGAAGAACAAATATGGTTAATTGGAGTTTGTTTGTTTGTTTTACGGTAATAAAGTTGTATGATTATTCCTTCTCACACTTTATTAAGAAAAAAAAAAAATCTTTTTGTGATGTAAATGTGATGCAAACAAGAATTCTGGCAAAGCTGTTCTTTTCACTGATTTGGTTTGTCAATAAAACTACTAGAATCTACATTTCTTCTGCACCTTTCCATTCTATAATCACTAATACCTGAATATTGTGTGATTCAACAGCACCCTCTAGTGTGTGCCATGATGGTTACATGATTGCTGCTATGCTATTCAAAACTACAGTGTTTGCTATTAACAATCATGTTACTTGAGCACTAACTCTGGCTCTCTTCTCCACAATCAAGGTGTCTGTCAATCCGAAGAATAAGTGCAGAATTACATAACATGACTTGACCTCAGATTCCCATGCACAATATAGCAACACCAATGAAATACAGCGATTTTTTTTTTTTTGAAAGAATGTGCATTTCATATCAAAAGCAAACCACAGAATCTCTTTTAAAACAAGATGACTGTAGATGAGCAAAAATCCTTCACCAGGTCTCTGAACCATTTATCAGTTCATAGATAAACAAAGCTATGGGAGAAAGTCAGAGTCTGCTAATGGAAAGGTGAACTGAGGTGAAGGGAAGAGAAAGTCTGTCAATCTTCATACATTCTTTGAATGTTTATGACAGTGAAATTATAGACACTCACTTGACAGAAGCCTGTTAATTTAAGTTATTCATATTAAGTTACACAAAAGCAAGAATACCAACAAGGTAGCCATAGCAAATGTTTCTATTTGGCAAAAAAACTCACATTTTGTCCTTGCTTCTTTTTGGCAATTTTATGCAGAACTGATTATTTTAGTGCTAAGAGTTTCTTGTGAATAAGAACCTATTTTAAGAGCAAAAATCTTACCTTGAAACTGATGCTTATTCTGCCTACCTACTCTTTCTTGACATGGACACCATTTTTATTATTATTAGTCTGGCTGTTTACGCCGTTTGAGTTCAGCTTCCCTTCTGCCATCAGTTTTTTAATGTGGTCGTATGGCCCCTTCCCCATCAAGGCTGAAGGATAGCGGTAGGAGCCTCCGATGCGGTCCCACAGCGTGAAGTACTGCCCGTAGTTGTAGTCGAAGAAGAGGTGGTGGTCTGTGTGGTGAGCTGAACCGTTGATGATGTGTTCCATCAAGCTGGGCACGCGGTAGTCTCCGTCGTGGATGGAAATGGTCCATATGTTGACGAACACATACAGGACTAAGTAGAGAATCTTGTGTAGGGGGAAGAGGAAGGGGTAGATGTGGTATGGCAGGCCCTGAACAAATCCGTCCACGGGGTGGAAAGCGTGGCTGGCGAACGGAGTGGGGATCTTCCACACATGATGTGGTTTGTGAAAATACTGTATATGAGGGAAAAGATTAAAACAAAAAGTAAGTTAAATGGAGCTGAGAGTACTACACTTTTATTGGTAGCTGAAAGCATGTTCAAAAATAGATCAAATATGTTGTATTTTGAACCATGTAGGTGTGTCATTATTACTATGTACCTATCATACAGATGTTAATATGGTGTATAAAATATTAAATTCAAGTTAATATTAGTATTAAAGTATAGTATTAAAGTTTTAAAACGACAAATTGAACCCAAAATAAAAGACATTAAAGGATTAAAAAATGACAATAGTGCATAAAATCACCAAAACATACAAAAAAAAAAAAATGAAAACTGAAAATAAACTCTAATTCAAATGTTAATACCATCATAGCACATAAACAATTCTAAAATAACATTTAATTACATAAAACCAACATAAAATAACAAAATTAGATTTTCTCTTTATTTACTTTCTCATCATTTTCAAAGCATGTTTTCTTTGAGAATATTGTTTCAATAGGTTAAGATTTCCAGTGTCCTCAATAATATCACCCTGTTAATCTGTTGTAATATTACTCTTTATTACCATCCTATTCATTTTCTTGCCCGTTGTTAATTAATAAACTATAAGTAACTGAGCTTGACCAGGGCATATTTACTTTAAATTAAATATTTACTATCTACTTATATATATACATAACAGGAATTTACCCATCTTTGCTCATATTTACCTATATGTCAATGCAAGGCAGATCATATATATATATATATATATATATATCTTAAATACCTTATATATCAACTTGTGGTGAAGGAATCTGTGAACCCAGTAAATGCACATGTCAGTGAAGAACAGGAAAGAGACCATGCTGAAAATCAGTCCTGACCATCCTGAAAAACAAGCAGAAATAGTATGAGATGGTTATGCCCATAGCAACACGATTATCTAAAGCACATCTGACAGGCTGCATCACTGGCGCTTTCTAAAATTAGGGCTGTCAGTTTGTTGCATCCAGATTCAATAATTTTTAATGTTTCTGGCCTAGCTTTCCTTAAAGTTTAAAAACTGGTGGTTTCCACATATCCAGCACTTTATATACCTATTTGATAAAGCAAAGGATCTCACCGAGTGGCGATTCATCGACACTGTCGTACAGTTTGCTGTATCCTCTGACCTCGGCGAAAAACAATGCTACTGTTGGTACACTGATCCAGGGCAAAGACCACAGAGCATACTTTATTTCACGTTGCACCTGGTTCTGTGGACAAAAATAGAACAAAAACCATACACATATATTATATACGTATATAAATATGTGACCCTGGACCACAAAACCAGTCATAAGGGTCAATTTTTTTTTCAATTGAGATTTATAAATCATCTGAAAGCTGAATAAATAAGCTTTCCATTTATGTATGGTTAGGATAGGACAATATTTGGCAGAGATACAACTATTTGAAAATCTGGAATCCGAGGATGCAAAAAAAATCTAAATATTGAGAAAATCGCCTTTAAAGTTGTCCAAATGAA